GAAATGGTGGAAATGGATTTGAGGCAAAGGTGAAGGGAAGATGGAAGGAAGCAGGACTTCTGGTGATCCTGACACGTCAACACTCTATACTTCTCTGTGTCATACGTGCACCAGCACGCATCTTTGCACGTAGAAGCTTAAAGTCATTTCTGTATGTTTACGAAAGTAGTAGGAGGGGAAGAAGAAAACAGATGGAGAAGAACAGAAAGACATTTCCATCTGCCTTGACTCGTGCTCACACCATTTCATCGGAAGGCATCGTTTATGCACATTTATGCGAGTGAGCTGGTTTCCTAGAGTTAATCATGTCTCCTTTCCCCACTGACAGAGTGGGTGCAACTGCAGCAGGAAGCGAGTGACTCAGTGTTTCATGATCTGAACGCCCCCAAGCCCTAGACCCCCTCCCACAGGTGCACATGGGGCCATGGGACCCGTGGAGGAGGGCTGCAAGCAGAAGAAACAAGAGAACCAAAGGCAGAGATCCTCAGACCGTTGGTTCAGAAACTCATGTCTTTGTGTAACATAATTTGCTGTCCCGCTGCTTGGGGGGGTGGGGCGTGGAGTCTCTCTTTCAAAATAAATACTGAACTCGGTCTCAGCTGAGGAGAAACAGCTTCCCCCTCCTCGCAGTCCTGGGGCTGGGGCAGGGTCAGTCTCCAGCTGTGTATCTGCAGGTCCAGAAAGTTCCTCCTCTCCTAGCTCTCAAGCCTCCTTCTTATTTCCTTGGACCGAGAACTTAGGTCTTACATGGTCCAAAGCAGAACTGACCATTTAATTAAGCACAAAACCAGGTTACATTTATCAGCTGATTTGCAATCTACAGAGCGCCTTAGAGATCCCCCCCATTTGTTCATTACCGTCCGTGTGTCTTTGGAGGCTGCTCTGCTCTTACGGCTGGGGGAGATTTGCGGTGGGCCCAAGGCATGCTGGTGACGGGCGGTGGGCTGGGGCCTGGAGCCTCATCCGCGCCCTGTGCTTGTCCCCTCATGGCACCGTGCGCGTGTGGTGTGTGCGGCGGATGTGCGTGTGCGTGGTGGGGTGTGTGCCTGCGTGTGTCTGGCGAGGCAACTGGCTGAGGGCAGTGGTGATGGAGGTGGGGGAGGGCGTCACCTCCACTTGTTTGTCCTGGGCCTGCAGGTGCAGAGGATCTTTGTACCTGTCCCCCCGCTTTTCTGACCTGCATCGACTTCCGAGGGCACAGCTGCAGTGCGGGGCTGTCTCTGTCCCTCGTTGGACCAGATCTCACTCACGGTTCACGTATGGACGTCCCCAAGGGTGTACCGAGGTCTGCCAAAGTGAGGAGTTGGACAGGGAGGGGCACAGTTGCCTCCCCTCCTAAGGCAGGGACATTCCCTTGGTGACAGAGGGTGGTTTTGTGACTTGAGATCTGTGGAGACCCCTCCTGATCTACCTCTCTAGGATCCTTAGCCTGTACAGTACCTTGGGTCAATAAGATACATTTATGAACTGCTGTAAATTTGTTCTAAAATCACCTCCTGCAAACTTCAAAAGAGATCTGCTCATTCTGGTGTGCTGGGGTTTGGGAATAAATTAGTGTCCACCTGTCCCTCTCATGAGGTTTTCTGGATTTCCATCATCACCATCCCTTTGGCTGTCTCCGAAGGCCCAGGGAGTGCCTGGAGCAACAGAACAGATCTTCCCACCAGCCCAGCTACACCGTCTGCCCATGGGCTGGGCACAGGGCTGGGGCTTGACATGCCTGGTTTCACCTTGAAACATGCCTCCAGACCCAGGGAATGGAGCCTGGGGAAGGGCAGGGAGGATGAAGAGAAGTGGGTTAAAGGGTACGAATATACAGTGAGGTAGAAGGGATACTCGTTCCACGTTGACAGCAGAGTGCCGTGACTATGCTTAACACAGTATAATGTACTCAGTTGATGGACACCTGGGCACTGGCCTTGATCACAACACATTATGTGCGTATAACAGAATTTCTCAGGTACCCCATACATTTGCACGAATGAAAAAAAATAAAAGGAAAATCTAAGCATGTGTTGTTAAAAATACAGCTGGGTGTGGTGGTGCACACCTGTAGTCCCAGCTACTCGGGAGGCTGAGACTGGAGCATTTCTTGAGCTCAAGGCTGCAGTGAGCTATGGTCTTGCCACTGCACTCCAGCCTGGCTGACAGAGTGAGATCCCAGCTCAGAAAATAAAATAAAATACATGTGTGTTCAGTTATGTTATCTGAATAATACACATGCTCATAAAGCAACAGTGCCCCACCCCACGTCCACCAACCCCTGGCCCCAGTCCCAAACAAAGTGCTTTAACTGTCTCTATGTAGTTTGTTGGGTGGTTGCCTCCACATCTAAATATTAATGCACACTTTCCTTTAGTCTCCACAACAGTCAACGTGAGGTAGGTGGTCTTACAGCCTCCACTTTACAGATGAAGAGACTGAGTCTTGCAGGGGATACGTGGTTTGTCCAGGGTCTCTCAAGCTGGGAAATGGCCAAGCCAGAGCTTGCCTCTAGATCCCTACTTGAAAGCCACAGTGCTAGGCAAGAGGTGGCTGTGTGCTTCCCTCTCTGTCCACCCTGGTGTCTTCTGGAGCCCTGCCCCCAGCCCACCTCGAGTCTGGCCTGGGGCACTCTTGGTGAGCACAGTGCTTTCTGGTTTCTAGCCTGTGTGTGTGCGCTTCCATACTTGCCAAGGAGGCTGCCTGGCCCCTCGAGTGTCCGTCCAGCTGAGTGGGTTTGCACACACCACTGGTCATCTCCAGTGACAGGAATATCAGTGGGCCAGAGCCAGACTGTCTGGAGAGTCCTGGTCCCCAGGAGGCAGGGTGCCAGCTGCAGAGGGTTTGCTGTTAGGACCATGTTTCCTGGTTTCCCCTTCAGGGACCAAACAGAGAGGAGCCGTGGTCATCCATACATTCTCTATGTGTGGCACGCAGGGTCATTTTCTGTTTCTTTTTACAGCTTTATTAAGGTATCATTGACATGCAAAAAACCACATATTTGATGTATGCAATTCGATGAGTTTGGACTTAGGCATACATCTGTGATGCTATCACACACCCCTTGGAGGCCATGGGCAGTAAACACACCCATCACCTCCAGAAGTGACCTGGTGTTCCTTTGTTTTTGTTTGCTTTTGTGGTAAGAGCACAAGCCAAGTCTACCCTCTTAGCCGGTGTCCGAGCCGGTGCGGCATGTTACTGCGGGGACCGCATTGCACATCAGGTCCTCAGACGCGTTTATCTGATGTGACTGAGACTTTACGCCCAGTGAGCTGCCATGTTTCCCTGAAAATAAGACCTGCCCATAAAATAAGCCCTAGCTGGATTTCTAAGCATGTGCGCGATAGAAGCCCTACCCCGAAAATAAGACCTAGTGATGGGCTACGGCAGTGTACAGTGGCTACGCAGCGCATCTGTACAACCCATGCATTTCGTCGCGGAGCGGGAAAGATGAGGAGCAGCCCTTCTCATCTGCCCCATGAGAGCTCTGTGGCTCCACATGAGACATTGGGGCCAATGGTTCTAAAGGAAATAGAGTCGCAAGAAATTCAGGATGGAATTTGGGGTTTGGAGAGTTATGATAATGTTCCGGAAGAAGACGCCTTAACTATATTTGAATAAATGTAGATTGTTGTACCGTACTTAAAAAAAATAACACATCCCCTGAAAATAAGCCCTAGGGTATCTTCTTGAGGAAAAATAAATATAAGACCCTGTCTTATTTTGGGGGAAACATGGTACGTTGCCCGCCATCTCCCCAGCCCCTGGCAGCCGCCACCCTGTTCTCTGCCTCTGTGAGTTCGACTGTTTCAGTGTTTCCTTTAAGTAGAACCATGCAGCATTTGTCCTGTGACTGGCCTTTCACTAGGTATAATATCTTCCAGGTTCGTCCATGTTGTCATAAATGGTAGGAGTTTCTTTCCTTCTTTTAAGGCTAAATAATATCTTGTTGTACATATATCTACATTTTCTTTATCTGTTCGTTTGACGATGGACATCTGGATTGTTCCATGTCTTGGCTGCTGTGAATGTTGCTGCAGTGAGCACGGGGGTGCAGATGTCTCCTGGAAATCCTGATTTTAATTCTTTTGATCCATACCCACAAGTGGAACTGATGGAGCACATGGAAGGTCTATGTCTAATTTTCGAAGGAACTGCCACGTTGTTTTCTGTAGCAGCTACTGCATTTCACACTCCTACCCACCAGACAAGGGTTCCAATTTCTCCACAGCCTTGCCAACACTCTTACCTTTGTTTGTTTGTTTATATGTTTGGATCATGGCCATCCCAACAGGTGTGAGGTGGTAGAAAGGATTACTTGCATTTCTGAGTGGACCACTGTTTTTTTTGTTGTTGGCATTTGTATGCTCTTACTGAATTCATTTGTGTCATGGACTGAGTGTTTGTGTCCCCCCACCCAAATTCGTATTTTGAAACTCTAGTCCCCAGTGTGGTGGTATTAGAGGCCCCACCTCTGGGAGGTAATGAGGTCATGAGGATGGAGCTTCCTGTGTCAGCCACGCGAGGACACAGAAGGCAGCTGTTGGAAAGGCGGAGAGAGCCCTGGCCAAGAACCCGCCCTGCTGCACCTTGATCTCTGACTTGCAGCCTCCAGGGCTGTGACAGCCAAGGTGTGTCTGTGCTCAAGTGCCAGCCCAGGGTGCTTCCGTATAGCAGCAGTCCCAGCTAAGGCACACTGAAATGTGAAAAAGTAGACAGCTGCAACATTGAGTAGGATCATTAATAAGTATTTTTTATAATAAATTTTTAGAGCGAGTTTTAGATTTATAGGAAACTTTCAAAGAGAGTACAGAGAGTTCCCATATACCCAACAGCCAGACTCCCCCATAAGTAACGTGTGACATTAGTATGTGACATTTGTTACAACTGATGAACCAATGTTGTTTCAGTTTTATTAAATAAGTCCATGCATTATTCGGATGTCCGTATTCTCTCTCTAATGTCCTTTTTCTGTCCTGGATCCCACGTGACATTTAGTCCTTGTGTCTCCCCAGGCTCCTGTTGGCTATGATGGCATCTCAGACTTTCCTTGTTTTCGACGACTCTGACAGTTTTGAGGACTGGCGGCCCCTGGCTTTCTGGAATGTCATTTTGGCTGACTTGGTTGTTATCAGTCATTGGTGAACACAAGGCCCAGCCAGGCCCGTCTGAGCCTTATGCTGGGGAGGTCCCACAGTAGGGGAGGGTTTGGGGCTAAATATACCATTTTTCTGGTCAACATTTCAAAGTAAATTCTTATCCACCCATCTGTGCATTCCAGAGATGTAAACGTCATCTCTAGGGCCCTACGAGGCCAGCCCCTCTTCTGCTGAGCACTGTTTATTTTGCAGCTACCTGGAGACAAAGGGGCCTGCTTCACTGCCGCTCCCCGAGCCCCAGTGCCACTGGAGTGGCGTGCCGGGCTGTGAGTAGGTGACTCTGGAGCCAGCCTGCCTGGGTTTGAGTCCCAGCTCTGCCACTAACAGACCCAGCAACCTGGCCAAGTGCCTCAGTTTCCTCACCTCAGTCCGAGTGAGGACAGGGTGGGACCAGTTAGCATATGCGAACATGCTGGCATTGAGTCGGCTCTCTGTGAGTGGCAGTGATCATTATTATGTAAAAGCACCAGTTATAACTCTGGAGATTACGGACACGTGGCGAAGACAGGTGAGTTCCTCTCTGCAGCACAACTCCTAACTGGTGCAGGTGACATGGTCTTGCTGTATTCCTAAAAGTTGCTTTAGGACGCAATATAGGAGTGTGTGGCACATAGTCAGTGCTTTGTGTATGTTAGCTTCACTAGCATCGCGTGTGTTACCGGCACCTGGGCTCAGTGCCTCCCCAGACCCCCGGCGTATGCGGGTCCTGCAGCCTGGTGGCTGCTGCATTGGCTCTGCGCCCAGGACTAGAGCTCAGATCCTGGATGCTGGGAACGACTGTGTGACCAGACCTTCTATGTCTTGCTGTCCCCATCTGTAAAATGGGGACAGCAATAGCACCTCCCACTGGACAAGGAATAAACGAAGTGGGGTGGGTGTCTTGCATGTAGTGAGTGTCCCCTAAATGGAAGTGACTGGTGTTATTAACACATCTGTGAGCACTGTCTCTGTGGAGGGCACTATAAGGGACCCAGGGGTGATTACAAGCAGCAGGAGGGGCACGTGGGAAGGAGGGGACGTCTCAGAGCCAGAACACACGTTGCCCAGGCATTGCCTGCTGCCTCGGTCTGTAAGGGGGCGTGCACACGCCTCCTTTTATTGTTTGTGGTGCGCCATCCAACCAGACTAGCGTTTTCAAAGGCCTGCTATGTGCATGAACCACCTAAAAGCAATCATGCATATTATTTCATTAATTTTTACAGATACTATCCTATTTTACAGGTAGAGAAATGAAGGTTTAAATGACCGTCCTTGGGTGGCAAGGCCATTAGCCGTGGAGTAGGAAGCCTGCATGTTGGGGTGTTTTCTCTCCAGCTCCTGAGCAAAGGCCATGTGCTCAGGTAACAAAAGTGCAGCGTCTTTATGAAAGTAGACTGAAGTCGGCACCAGGGCAGGGACTGTTTCTGCCTTGTTCACCGTTCTCCCTAGACTGGGTTCATAAGAGGCATCTAGTAAGTGCTGAATAAATACTTGTGGGATGAATGTGTGGCCATGGAGATGCACAACTACAAAGCTCTCTTGTATTGTCTATCTCATCCGAGCCATAAAACTGCTCTGTGAGAAAGGGTTTGGTGATACTATCTCCATTTTATAAGTCAAAGAAATGTAAGGGAAATAAATATCTATCGAGAGCCTTCCCTGGGTGGAGGCTTTGCTGGTGTCACCTCCTTGAATCAGTGCATGTTGTCTTTGGGGGAACGTCATACCACAGCTGGCTGCAGACCCAGGACCACGACCTCTGCACCCAGACCCCTGGTGTGGGCTCTGCCTACTGCCCCAAAGCCTCCAACCCTGCTGTTCAGAGGCGTCTGCCCAGCCGTCCTCAGCCTGGCCCCGTCGGAAGCCCGGGCACCAAGAAATGGAGCTCCCTCTTGGTGCTGCCACCGTGACAGGGAAGGCAGGGCTGCTCCTTGGCCATACAGAAACAGGCAGGGGCTAGCCGGGGCCTGTCTCCATGTGCCTCCTCCTTGAAGCCTGAATCTTTTCTGACAAGACCCCATTACAAGGGACCATGCAGCCTTGCCCTGAGCATGCCCCATCTCCCCCACAGCACGCCCCATCCGCTCCTGCAAGAGGAGGCAAGGAGGGCTGCCGCTCTGGGCCCTCCAGTCTCCGGGACACCCACTTGCTCCTTCCTGGACACCTTGTAGCTGCGGCGACTGATTCCTAACCGTCTTCTCACTGCCTTCAAATCACACAGTAGGTTGCAGGGAAGCCTTGCAAGGCCACAGAGGGCTGGTCCCTTAGCACCACCCCCCAGGGGCAGGGTAGCCATCCTGGGTAGGACCTGCGCCAGCACCAGGTGTCTCTGCGGAGCGGGGCTGGGCTGTAATGGCAGGAGGGGAGCAGTGGGCGGCAGCACTGAGCTGCACTTACTCAGCTTCATCCTCAGAGCCAGTGGGTGTGGCCCGTGATGGGAGGGACAAGGGTGCCACGCCCCGGAGTGGGGTCAGGCACTCCAGGGTCCCTACCTAGGGCTCCATCAACCATGTTGCCTCTGCTAAGACTGGGCCACACTCTTGTACTTTCTGTGACCTCTTCGTTGCCTTCAGGATCTCGCCATGGTGACCACTCAAAGTCAGCTCTGGACCTGGAGACCCTCTTTCCACAGCTCCGGGCCCGGCCCCGCCATGCAACTCTGGCTGAAATGGTGGGGCAAAGCCTGGGCCGGGCCGGAGATCACAGGCTAGCCTTTGCAGTGACTCGTGTCGTGGGTCTGGGGACTGGGTTTGATTGGTCAGGGCAGGTGTTTGCAGGAACCAACCACAGCACTGCCCCAGACATGGCAGTCACATCGTCTGATTCTGGCCAGCTGTGACCGGTGCTGGGAGCCTGAAGCTCCTTCCTGCTTTCCCCTCACCTCCCCCTCCCAGGTGGTATCCCGAGAGGCTGCTGGCATTGCCTCCTGACTGTCTCTCAGACCCTCGTCCCCTCCTCTCTACCCTGGGGTCACAGCCTGGTCCAGGCCTCGGCAGCCCCCCCCTCCTGCCCAGCCACACCCCTCAGCTGCCAGAGTGACCTTTCTGAATGCGCCATGGACCAGGGCGCTCTGACCTGCTGACAGCCCTCGGGCTGCTCAGGGCAGAGGGCAACCCCCAGCATGTCATGCCAGGCCCGTGGGACGCCCGCCGGTGCCCCTCTGATGTTCTGCTTGAGCCACACAGCGCTGCCTGCACAGTCCCAGCCATTTGCTGCCTCCCTGCCTTTGTCCGGGCTGGGCCCCCTGCCTGGGGCGCCATCCCTTCACAGTGTCCTCCATCCTCCGGCTGACCTGCGCTTGAGACTTGGGGCAGTCATGGGCTCTAGGCTCTCGGTCCAGTCCTGCTGCACCTCTGTGCTCTGATTCTAGGGACTCGGCTCTGTTCTTGTCCCACTGCGGTGGTGGTTGTCTGGAATATGACTGGAATATGACCTCCGTGAGTGCCAGTGTGGTTTCCCATGCACTGTGGTAGGCACAGCACTGACACAGTGCCTGGGACACAGAGGTGCTCAGCAGATGTGTTCGAGGGACGAAGGGTGGGAAGAGAGCTCGGGCACCGTCTGGCCCTGCATTGGGCAGACCCTAGGACCAGCAGATGACCCCATCTCACGCAGTGACCATTGCTGTCTTTGACCATCTTTCTTGTCACAACACCAAAATCCCTGGCACTTCCGTTTAACCTTGTCCCAGCAACCTCGCAGATGGAGATTGGCTGCTCAGCATCTGTCACAGCTTTTAATATAAATTCCAGACAGATTTCCTCCTTTGTTAATGGCAAATTAAAAAGCCCCAAAAAGGAAGTGCCACCCGCTCCCCTCCACTGTAGGGGGGACACGTGGGTGGCACCACCTCCCAACACCTGTGGTAGTCACAGGGCGCTTGGAACCTGTAGAAGCCGCTGCGAGTCACCCGGGCTGACTGGGGAAGACCTTGGGGGGCTGGCCAGTGCAGAGTCCATGTGAGGGGGTCTCTAGGGTGACCCCTGAGGTCTTTTGAGAGGGTCTGTTGTGTTGCGGAGGGAGGAGGGAGGCCTGCCGTGGAGAGGTTCTGTCCTGTCCACGCTAGGCCTTGGAGTGGCTCCTGGCGGGGCCGTAGTGGGAGGGCCTGCCAGCCTTCCGGCTCCCTCCTCAGTGCCCCAGGTTGCCTTGGTGCCAGGTTTCCAGAGAGGCCTAACAGAACAGACCCAGTTTTCTGGTCCCAGGGGAGGAGCCAGGAAGCAAACGCCATAGGTGTGTGGCTCTAGGTGTTCCCTGAGGTGTGAGGAGTTATTTGTGGGCGTGGTGGTGGGCGAGAGGGCCCCTGTGGGACATAGATGTGGCAAATGAAAACACTTGCCAGGAAGTGCCGGGGCACGCTGACGCCAGAACGTCCCTCATCGCTCATGTGAGATTCCGGTGTGTTGGACATCCTGGGAGCAGTCTCCCTCGAGGTTGGTGGGCACTCCTGGTGCCAGTCGGTTAGGAAGAGGTGGGTCCTTGTCCCGTGCAGTGACTGGGACAGGGCGTGGCACCAAAGGTCGCCCCCCCTTGGCTCTGCTTTCTTGGGTCTGAGGGTCTCTCGGCCAGCCTGGGATGGGGGAGTGGCCTTTGCCTCGTGGGGGCTGGCCGGCAGGTGTGCAGGAGTTGGGGGCTCGTCCCTGGGTCACTTCCCTCTTGCTGGCTCTGAGCCTTTAGTCGGAGCTGGTGACGTGTCCTGGGCTACGTGTCCTGGGCTGCAGGTGGTGGGCCTCTGAAGGAAGGGCCTTCCCTGGGTGGAGCCAGTGGGGAGGGAGTGGGGAGACGGGTCCCAGGGGACACTTCTTTTCCCTGTCTCTCCCCTTCCGGTGGGGAGTCATTCTTTCTTTTCAGTCTTGGAGGATCAGGGCTTGATTTTTGAAATAATTTTAAATATTGATTTTTAAAATCCACGTTCTGTAAAATTCACTTCTCTCTTGGTTCAGTCCCGTGAGTTTTAACAAAGGCATCGAGGCATGCACCACAGTCAACATTCAGACAGATCATCACCCCATGAAATTCTCTCCTGCTGTCCCTTTGGAGGCAAATCCTCCCCCACTGCAGCCCCCGCACCCCCAGATCTGTTCTCTGCCCTTGCAGTTTTGCCCCTTCCAGACTGCCTTCCGCATGGGGTCACACAGCGCGTCGTAGCCCTCGCACCTGCTTCTGCCTCAAGGGATGCACTTGCCCGGGTATCGGCACTAACCCGCCGCATGGACGGCCGCAGCGTGTTCATTCGCTCACCCGTTGAGGCTGTTTGGGTGGACTCCAGCGTGGATTGATCATAGAGTAAGGCTGCTCTGAACATTGGGGTACGGGTGTTTGTGTCAGGGCGGTGTGCATTCCTCTGGGGGAGTCCCTGGGGCGGGACTGCCGGGTCACACGTGACGTGCAAAGTAAGGTTAGAGGGGAGCTGGCGAGCACCCAGGGGGCCCCGTGCGGCTGATTGGCTTTTAGTTTCACAAATGGAGACATGGGGACCTGGGGGGTCAAGTGAGGCATGCAGGGTTGTAAGGAAAGTCAGTGTTGGGGTTCAGGCTGGAGCCCGGGGTTCAGGCTGGAGCTCGGGCCTCCTGCCTCCCAAGCCACTGTGCTCTTGGCTGAGTTCCACACTCCCTGCATCATCGTTTGCTGTAAACTTATTCTCATGGGGCACACTTTTGGGACACACTGGGCAGCCACCACTGAGCTTCTACACCCAGTGATAAGGAATGTGACCAAAGGGGTTCACCATTTGTGACAAAGACCAAGTGACTGTGTCAGCACAGGCATGTTGGTGAACGTAGGAGACCCTCACTTATAAAAACTAAATACCTTGCCAAGTCAGATTTCTTTTAAAAAGGCAGCTAAGGGAAGGCAGTCTTTTAAACAACGAGGGCCCTTAGTGCAGGAAATGGAAAATCACAAAGGGAATCTGAATTTTGGAGACCATTTACCCTGGGGATCTGTAAATGCTGGATCCTGTAGAGGCTTAGATCTAGAGAAAGTGGGTCTCTGGGGTCAGATAGCCTGGGTGCAAATCCTGCTTCACTCACTGCTGGTGTAGCCTTGAGCAAGCACCTCAGTGTTATGGTAGCGCCGCGGACGTGGCCCTGGCCCTGGCTCTTTGGCGCGATGAAACCACCTACAGCGCTATGCTTCTGAGGTCCCTCCACACAGAGCTGACACAGAGCTGGCTTTCCAGGGTGCCTGTGGGTGCCAGGTGCACCGGGCTTTCTGTGTGACTCTTTCCCCTTGCACCTGTCATCTGGGCTTCAGGGCCTGCTTCTGAAAGTCCTTGTCCCAGGCAGCCTTTTCTTTATATGCTTCAAGTTTAGAATCGAGGTAGCAGGTCCCACCACTCCCTGGGAACTGGCTTCACCACACTTCCAGCTTTTGAACACTTCAGTGGAGGATTAATTGTTATTCATGCTGTCATTGTTATGTAGGTCACTTTTTCTTTGGAGCAAGTTGATGGGATTTTATTATCTGTGGAAAGCAGCCATACCAGAATGGAGAATACTTCTGATTGATGATTTAGCTTAAAAATAGTTTCCTATTTTAATAAGCCTCATTGGGAGCAAATGACCCCAGAGAGGAACTGTGTGCTTATCTGGTAGCCTATGTATTTTTGTAGAAATTTTGTAGAAATTTGTGTATTTTGAGGAAAAGGAGAGGGGCTGTGACTGGTCCTAGGGACGGGGTCTAGAAGCCTGGCATGGGGGCGTTTTTGGCGTCTGCCCGTTGGCTGACTGCCTTCTGCTCTGGGACTGCAGTGTTCCTCCCTGGGACAAAAGGCAGGCAGTGACTGCGTGAATGTCTCCTGTTGGATTCCTTCAAGCTCAGAATTACAGTCACCAAATATTTAATAGTATTGAGGGTTTGCTCTGTGTCAGGCAAAACCATGCTAGATACTTTCATTGATACTGTCTGGGGAATATCCAGGCAGAGAGGAGACCCTCACTTATAAAAACTAAATACCTTGCCAAGTCAGATTTCTTTTAAAAAGGCAGCTAAGGGAAGGCAGTCTTTTAAACAACGAAGGCCCTTAGTGCAGGAAGTGGAAAATCACAAAGGGAATCTCAATTTTGGAGGACCATTTACCCTGGGGATCCTATAGAGGCTTAGATCTGGAGAAAGCGGGTCTCTGGGGTCAGATAACCTGGGTGCAAATCCTGCTTCACTCACTGCTGGTGTAGCCTTAAGCAAGTAGCATAAGCTCTCTGCACCTGGATTTCTGCCCCTACAGAATGGGAGCAGCAGTGGCCCCCATAAGGTTGCAGTGAGGACAAGCCCTTCCGGAACATCAGTAAGGTGAGGGACAGGCTGCCCAGATCCTGTTCCTTAGGCAGCTAAGATCATGAAGCCACAAGAAGAAACCTCAGAGATTTTTCTCTAGGGGATGCCAAATTGAGGTTTTCCTTTGAAGCCTTGTGGAGGAAGTGTCTGAAAGCCAATTCATAGTCTTTGGAAAGTTCTTCCCCAAAAGCCGGTAATATGTAAACAGGGGCCCCGCCCCAGGCGGGGAGGGCCAAAAGGGGACATTCGCGACTGGGCGGGCTGTGCTGTGAGCAGGAGAACCTCACTAATGGCTCTAAACGTGTGGCTGAGTAGGATTGGTTTCATTCATTTATTCTGTAAGCAGAGGCTGATGGAACCAAGACGGGCCAGGGGGCGCCAGGGGGCGCTCTAGAGAGGACGGGCGGCCTGTTCTAGTGGGCCCCGCCCTGAGGTGGAAGGGTGGCTGCTGCTGGAAGCTAGTCCTGCCTCACCGAGGTCAGTATCCTGGGGAAGGAGGCGCCTGACAGGACCTCCCTGCTCCCCACCACTTTCACAGGTCAGCAAGTACCTCTTCCCTACAGCTTCTCAGACAGAAATGCCAAGTAGCCCCCATGAAAGACCTGAGGCCTGGGGGGCAAGCACAAGGAGCAATGCCTCCTTGTCATAAGTGTTGTCCCCCGAGCCTGTCATTGCACGTGAACTGGGGTAAACCAGTTGGCAGGTGCGCTCGGTGTGAACTAGGGAACCCAGTCGGCAGGTGCGCTCAGTGTGAACTGGGGTAACCCAGTCGGCAGGTGCACTCGGTGTGAACTAGGGAACCCAGTTGGCAGGTGCGCTCGGTTTAAACTAGGGAACCCAGTCGGCAGGCACCCTCGGTGTGAACTGGGATAACCCAGTCAGCAGGCGCCCTCGGTGTGAACTGGGATAACCCAGTTGGCTGGTGCGCTCAGTGTGAACTAGGGAACCCAGGCAGCAGGCGCGCTTGGTGTGAACGAGTGCACTCAGGAGCATTTAGTGCCACTATTTCAAGGACATAAAAGGCCAAGGTATAAGAACCCCATAGAGCAAGGAACCACTTGTCCCAGGAGCACAGAGGAGATTCACTTCATCTGCTGGTGACAGCAGTGATTTCAAGGAAGGGAAGGCTTCCTGTGGGAGGTGGCACCTAGGGGAGCACCAAAGGGATCAGGTGGAAATGGAGCCGGGGGAGTGGCCACAGACGGAATCTGTAATTAATTCTGTCGCCCACCCACCTCAGGCCAGCACTTGCAAGTGTGGAATACGGAGATGGCGAAGGTAGAGAAGGGTGTTTTGTAGAACGCTGGGCCAGGAGCTGGGAGGAGTCATAGTGAGGAAAGGTGGCCCAGAGAGGTCACAATTTGTCAAAGCCACACAGCTGAGTGAAGGTGGGAGGATGGGGCTGGGAGACCTGAGAAGGGGGTTGCATGGGAGGGAAGAGGGGGCAGCGCTGGTGTTGCTGCTTCCTCTTCCCCCTCCCACTCCCCTCTCCCTTTTCCCTTTCCCCTTCCCCTCCTCTCCCCTGTCCTCCTTGAGCACACAGCCTCTAATAAGAAATTAAACATTCTGGCCGGGCGCGGTGGCTCACGCCTGTAATCCTAGCTCTTGGGAGGCCGAGGCGGGCGGATTGCTCAAGGTCAGGAGTTCAAAACCAGCCTGAGCAAGAGCGAGACCCCGTCTCTACTATAAATAGAAAGAAATTAATTGGCCAACTGATATATATATATAAAAAATTAGCCGGGCATGGTGGCGCATGCCTGTAGTCCCAGCTACTCGGGAGGCTGAGGCAGAAGGATCGCTCGAGCCCAGGAGTTTGAGGTTGCTGTGAGCTAGGCTGACGCCACGGCACTCACTCTAGCCTGGACAACAAAGCGAGACTCTGTCTCAAAAAAAAAAAAAAAAGAAAGAAATTAAACATTCAGTATAGCTAATGGAGGGTTGATTGATAACTGGAACTCGGTGCTGAGTGCCTGGAATTAAAATCCTGCTGGGAGCTTCAGTGAAAGTGTCCTGCTTCGTTTCTGTGGCCGGGGCTGAGCTGTACTCATGAATGGTCTTAGTCTGTTATTGATAGCAGGTGAGTTCCAATCTGTCTGGGGTTAACGGTGCTTGCTCTGTCAGGGACATGTGTGTAATTGTGTTTGGGAGCAGAAGGAATAGCCTTTGTAATATGGGGTCAGAAAATAATTTTTATTC